GAAAATGGGTAGGTCAAGTAAAGGAGAGAGAGAAGATTCTTTTGGAACAAGAATTGTCGAATTTAGTCGCCGAACAAAGACGAAATTGCCGTCTGTAACAGTGGCATCGCACGGAGAGGGGAGAGAGAGAGAGAGAGAGAGAGAGAGGGAGAGGGAGAGAGAGAGAGAGAGAGAGAGATGTAAGGAAATTTGATTTTGGACGAGATAGGTAAATGGCTTGTCTTGCCAATTTATTTTAAGGGCTCTCATTGTTGAGGTGAGTGGTTTATGTAATGTGTTCTAAAAGTTCTTATTTTGTGATAAAATATGAAAACCATGATTTTTCGTGGATTTGTTCTATTTACAAATATCTCTCTATTTCAAGTCAAGCATGTCTAATTTGGTGCAATCTTTCACACTATATATATTGACTGGAATATTTGTGAAGTACGTATTATTCATGCACGAGAACTTCAATGGTATCCGAGGGATAGATGTACCACAGAGGGACATAGGGCAGTAAGGCCAGTACGTGGTTGGCTACGTGCTATGAAGGATAACCGAGATATGAAGGGATGATGTGATATGATATGGATTGGTGTATCTTTTCATGATATTTTCTAGAGTGTGTAAAACGGCATTGCTTGACTGGCATATTGCATAATCTACTCACTGAGCGGTGGTTGCTTATCCCTCACCTTGTTTAACTTTTCAGATGAATTAGTGGGCAAGACGAGGACTAAATCGATTGAGGCTGAATTAGATGAGAGTAGTAGAGCTTTATTTATTTCTTGTAAAGTTGTAAGATTTCAGAGCTATTTTTATAAGAGAAGTTTATTTTAAACCCTTGTTTGTTTGTTTTTTTTTTTTTAATTTTTCTTATGCACCGGGAGCGGGATTTCCACCTACCCTCGGGTCCGGGGCATGACATTATTTAATTGTGTCATTACATTTCTGCCCTTGGAGTAAGGGCACTTTAGTCTCTTTTTGTTCAGAAAAGAATTTGGGGAATTGAGTCGCATCGTTGCGTACAACTAGTGAATACGAGTCCGTAGACATGCGTAGGGGGCTTTTCGTTCCGGCAGCTACTGCGGGCCTGGGTTGCTGTAAAGAGCCAAAAGTATGAAATTTCCCATTGAGTCTGAGTTCATGGATCAAGCCCCAAGAGTGTTTCAAAAGGGTAGTTAAGCCTTAGCAAACACTTTGGTCATCTTCACCAATGAAACCAACAGTCGCTTACAGATAAATTCTTTGGCTTGTCATGAGAAGCTTGTGGCATGGGAGCTAAGCACTCATGAGTTTAGCATGAAAGAGAGAGAGGGCTGTGAGTTCCTATGAGAAGCATGGGTTCTAAGGAAAAGGGGAAGATATTCTAAGAGAGTTTGTTGAAGAGAGAGGGATGGGGGTATATTGGTTATGTTGACTAGTTTCCGGCAGCTCGATAAAAACTCTGTCAAGCTTTGGAACAGTTTACCAAAAGGGAAAATGGGGAGACATGGAAAGATGGGACTCGAAATTGCAGAAATTTCATAGGCGAGAGATAAAGCTTGCACTCCAAATGTGCCTTGAGAGAGAGAGAGGAAGAAGATGGAAGAACAAAGCATGAAATTGAAGGGTTCCAAAGGGGAGCTTGCCTTCGATCAGATTCCATGGTTGCTGGTTGGCTTGCAGCAACCAAGGTGAGTTTGGTGCGTGCCACCAAAGTGGGTTCTTTTCTGGGTAGAAGGTGGCTTCTATTATAAGTGCTGGAAACCTTAATTTTGTCAAGTCTTTCTCCCCCTTTTCTTCACTTTCTTCCATTTACCTTGTTTGGTGGAATTTCCCTACCCTAAAACCATAGGCACACAGCTTTTTGGGGTTCTAAGGTCCTCAAGCAACTGGACTCCTCGATGTGAGTAAGGCGCCACCCACTTTTGCTTCTTGTTTTCTCACCAAAGCTTGAAGAGGAAAGAATAGGTATGGGTGCTAGTCAAAAGGTGATCAGCACATGGGTTTTCTTGGTTTTGATGGTTTTGGGAGATATGCTTGATATTTTCCATTATGCTAGGCTAGGCTATTGGTATCTTGTTTCCAGCAGCCTGTGAGTTTACTCAAGCTGTTGGAAACAACCTATTTGATCAAGGTGCAAGATATTTTGGCTGTTGTGGGATTTTTCCAAGTGTTTTCAAGCCATTGGATATTTTCCTAAGCTATTGGGCCACTCATTCTCTCTCACGCTTACCCATATATTTGGGCTCAAGAAATGGGCTCAAATTTTGGTGCTCCCAAGTAGCCCAAAACTTCCACTTCTTGGCCCATCAATGGGCCTCGTGAATGCTCTTAACTATCCATGCCACAACCTACTCAGCAAGCCCTAGGCATTCGCGTGGTTTGGGCTCACTTAAGCTTGTAGCGTGGCATGTTGCTTAAATAAGGATTTTTCGCTTGGTGTTGTACTGGGGTGAAAATATATTTGGGCCCAACCTTGGATTTTTTTTGGGCCTCAACAACATGCGGCACATTCAATTCAAATTTAAAATGAAGAAATTATAATCTACGAAAGTTCAGTGGCACAATCGTAGATATCACAAAGTTCCAATTTAATTAACAGATCAAATTCCTTTTTCTAGAATTTATCTCTCTCCCCTAGCTCGTGCTACCCTCTCCCCCTTTGTGAAACAAACCGGCCTGTTTGGCCAACGTTTTATCCTCCGTTGAACCACAAAACATTCGTCTCTTCCTCATTTGAACATCCGTACCCGTATCCACCTTTGAAACTCCAAAATTGGTTGCGATTTTGGACTAGAACCGATCGAAACCCTAGTTTCCTCGTTGCTTTTGTTTGTGCTATTTCCGGCGATTTTAATGACCAAAATCATCGAACTAGGTATGAAACTTCATCCTCTCATCGTGCTCTACCTGTTTATGTGTTTGGTTTTGGTTAATTTTGAGGTTTTAGAGATTGATTTCTAACTCCCAATTATGCCGATAGTTTCAGCTTCATTCCAGCTAGTTCCAGTCAGTTTTTGGCCGTGGTCCAAGAACAAAAAATGCTCCCCTAGTTGGTATAGGTATTGTAGTGTGTTTCGAGAAATTTATGTCTGGAAATTTCTCAAGACATCCACGTGCTATTGGCGGTGGGTGGCGATGCATGGGCCATTGTGTGTCGACCCATTATGTTCTGAAATACTCCCTATGTCGTCCTGAGCATGATTGTATGCTCGGATTTGGAATTGGTTGTCATTTGACTATCGAATAGATATTGCACATATTATGCGATATCTGGGTTCGATAGGTTCGGACCGTTCATCGGTTCCAATTTCAACTATGTTGTTCTCGGTACCTCTAGCATTGTGTAGGAACTTTCGGATCAGAAATCGGAGGTCGTGAGCCTCTTGAGCCTTGCAGGCCCGGTTGACCAATATGAAAAGTTTGACCGCTTGGTTGACCATGAGTCTTCCGGGACTACCTCATCCTTAAGTACTAGAATAATTCTATAAACCTTCTTAAAGGTTGTGCACACTTTGAGACCTAGGAACTAGAGTTTTGAGTTAAGGTTCATTGTTGGGTACGTTTGTTAATTAAGTCCGTTTATTCTCTCAAATGGGTATCACACTTCACGTACTCCAAAGGAATAGTCATCTTAGAATTCAGCTGCATTGGACTTGTTGTGAGTGGACATATGTTTTTAAATGAACATTGTTTTTCAAACATGGAATTGCTTGCATAAATGTGATTCGATTGGAAAATTGGTTATTTTGGGTTAATTGAGATTATGGGATTATATTATCGGGCTAGTCTTGGCTTTTACATTGTGATATGGGATTTCTAGGGATTATTATTTTATTATTATTATTATTAAAGTATATGGTTTTGGATATATTTTGGGATATGGAAAGGAAGATGGATTTATGGAAAAGATTAAAGTTGGTCTTTGGGACCAATCAGGGCACACATATACTTTTTGAGAGGTGTGGGAGGATGTTAGTCTACGCGTATGATTGGATTCAGCCACACGTACGATGTAAGTCCCCGTGTGCGTGCTGGGGAGCAAAAGTCCCCCGATTGGACTGTTCATCCTTAGCCACACGTATGATGGAAGATCCCGATATGTGGTTGAGAATAAACAGTCCCCGAGTTGGATTGTTTCCCCTAGTACATATTGTGGGAGCATATATTTTTGTCTCCAATCAGGGCACGCCACGTGGAAAAGAAGATTATCTCTTAAATTAATTAATTGAACCAGTTTATTTGGCCAATTAATTAATTGGGATAAATATCTTAATTAATAGGACATTATCTTTATTTAATAAGATAATACCATTAATTTAGATATTATCCTAATAAAGAGAAGATAATATCATTAATTCATATATTATCTTCATAAAAAGAGATAATATCATCTAAATAAGATATTATCTTCAATAACGAGAAGATAATATCATTAAATCAGATATTATCTAAGTTCAACTCGATCCCTACGAATTTGGGTAGAGAATAAACTTAGCATATTCTCTACGAAACCCTAGCCCCGAGGCTCCTATAAATAGACGACCTTATTCATCATTCAAGGTACATCTAAACCTTCTCCAGAACCCGAGAAAAATACCCGAAGCTCTCTCTCCCTTTCCACTCTCCATATTTTCTCCGCACGGCTCCGGCCACCACACACGGCTCCAGCCGCCCGGTTTACACCATAAACACAACTCCGTACCCTTTGCTTAGCTATTGTTTTCCTACAAACACTCGAATTAACTTAGGCATCGGAGGGCCTTTGGCCAACACCCCCCGGGTGTGGTCTATTTACTCCAGTCTTTTTTTCAGGAATCGAGGAAGAAAGAGAAGGAAGATCGAAGGTTGAAGGATCACAAGGAGAATATTCTCCCGCGAGATTATTTGCACAAACATTTGGTGCTTTCATTGAGAGCACGAGTTATACTCAACGCGTGCTCAAGGAATTCGTTCCTCCTATTTTCTAATCCACCGAAGCCTTCAAAACAACCAAGGTTGGAAGCAAGCGCACGAGGAGCAAAACCGCCGCGATGGCTAAATCCGCGACGGCCCAAAGCCACTCCACCCACGATCCCGCGATCGACATGGTGGCACCACCACCTCTCACCACTGTGCCACCTACCAGACCCTCAGCTGGATCTAGCAACCTCCGTGGCACCGCCACCGAGCATGGTGGAACCTCCCATCAAGGTGGGCTCGTTACCACCACTGACTTAGGCCCGGTCTTGGAGCAACTTCAAGCATTCCCTCCATCGCCTCCACGCTCGATGCACTCTCCTGCATACACCTCCAATGAAACCCTAGCCCGAGTGCAATTAGGCTCCACACACTTCTCTCATCTCGATCCACGAAGTCAAGCAGATCTTAATCTGAGAGTTCACCAGCTAGCTCAGATGATGGACGACCAAACCCTGGTGAGGCAGCTCCTCAACCAAATAAACTTTGTTCAAAACCTTGGCCTTGGACAACCAGGCGAAGAGAGAAGGATGGATGAACGCACCGATCGGCAGCTCAATGGGTACCAAGCAGGTTGAGCAAGAGTAAGCAGACAAGGAGATGGACAACAACGTGATCAGCTTGCCGCATGTCACAAGCACCAACAAGCCACACACAAAGCAATGTGCGCGAAAGGCTTGGACCACGACTTGACGCTCGCCTGGTCCCGCAAGGAAATGTTCATGAAAGGCTAGGCTCCTATGGAGGTCAAACTGACAATCGCCCCAATGAGGATCGTGAAGAGAGGCGCTCCATTGCCTGCTCATAGAGAAATATTCACGAAAGGTTAGGCCCCCAGGGAGGTCAACCTAGTAACCCTCACAATGAGGACCGTGAAGAAAGACACTCCACTACCCGCTCTCAGAGAACCAATTCTCGTCCCCAAGCTACCGAAAATCCATCGCAAGTGCAGTCCACCAACACGCCTCCTAGGCAGCGTGGACAAGGGGGTCGACCCTCGCAGACCAACGAAGAGGTCAATCAGCATTGCTCAAATGGCGAAGGTCGCCAACGTGATCGACTAGCAATGTGTGCGGAAGACATTGAGAAGGTTGTGAATGACCGACTTCGAGACTTGAAGACTGGTGGGAACCTCGAGGATGCGCTACGTAAGGAGATGGACCAGGCGATCTATACACATTTCACCCCTGAAATCGAGCAGGCTGCTCCCCTAAAGCGATTCTCAACACCTTCATTTATACACTTCAAAAGGGATTCCGATCCCGAAAGCCACCTAAAACACTTCAAAAGTGTCATGATGCTCCACAAGGCCGACGACGCACTGATGTGCAAGGTGTTTACAATGACCTTGGGAGGAGCAGCTCATGACTGGTTCCACACCCTACCATCCGGATCGATCACCAGCTTCAAGGAGTTGGCTTACGTCTTTACCAAAGAATACACCTCTTACCGGATGATCAATAAGAACCCTAACCACCTTTATAACCTGTGCAAGAAGTCCGACGAATCCCTTCGAGATTACATCAAGAGATTCAAAGCAGAAACGGCCAACATTGTAGGATGTGACGACTGGATCGCGTCATCTGCCTTCAAGAAAGGTCTTCCAGCTGAACACGACTTGTACCGCGAGCTGACTATCACTCCCAGCCAGACTCTGGCAGAGGTCTACGCGACTGCAGAACATTACGCACTCTGGGATGACGATCGAATCGCCGTAAAAAAGTTTACAAAGCAGGAAGATCAGTCGACTAAACGGGCAGGCCAAAGAAGCGATGGATTTAGCAACAAGAATAAGGACAAGCGCAGGTCACGCCTACAAGGGGACGCTAAGGCAGGAGAGAACTACACCAAGTTCACCATCCCTATACATCAAATCCTAGCCCAAGTGAAAAACAAACCTTAGGTAAGAAGACCGCCACTCTTGAAAGGAGATCCGAACAAAAGGGATACCAGCAAACACTTTGCCATCCATAGGACGCATAGACACATTACAAACAACTGCTTTGCCTAGAAAGCACACCTTGAAGAACTCGTGAGAGAAGGCCGCTGCACGGAATTCATTGCGAAGGAGGCCATCCAACGGATTGAAGATCATGACACCGCCAAGGAGCTACCCCAAAAGGTCATAAGGATTAACACAATCCTGGCCGACTCCGAGGAAACTGGGCTGACCAGTAAGGAAAAGAAGAGGAAGATCGGACAGGCCACTTTGATCTCCCAAGTCTCGACCGACCTTCCGCTAGCAGAAGACGATCCTGTAATCAGCTCCCAAAAGAAAGATATGATCAGCCTCGACGCGCCACATAACGACGCCCTTGTCATCAGCATTCAAATTGCTCATGCCATGGTCGACCGAATCCATGCAGACGAGGGCAGTGCAGCCAACATCCTACAATTGGCGGTCATCCAACAGATGGGCTTAGAGACAAAGATCAATAAATCAGCCAAGTCGCTAACTGGCTTCAATGGCGCAACAACGGTTACCGTGAGCACAATAGATCTCGACGTCCACTCCCCACCAGTATATCAGCTCGCAAATGTTCATGGTCATTGGTGAAGCCTCACCCTACAATAGCATTCTGGGCAAACCATGGATCAGCAAGATCAGCGTCGTCACCTCCGCCACACATCAGAAGATTTGCTACCCAATCCCTAGGGGCGGTATCGGTCAAATCAACAGCGATCAGGTAATGGCGAGGAAATGCTCAGCTCAAGGGTTGAAGAAAGACAAGCAAACACTATTCCTCCCTGTGAATCAAGCAAATCTAAAGGGAGTAGAACAAACAAAGGAGAAAGTAGATCCCCAATAGCAGAAAGGAAAGGGAATAACTACTCCCCAATAGCAATCAAAGATTCAGGACCAAGTCGAGGGACTCCGTCCGGAGGTTTATCCTGAGGAAGGATGGAAGCCCGAAGAGGACGTTGAACTAGTACCCCTTGATCCTGACAAGCCAAAGAGAACAGCGCGATTCGGCTCGCGCCTAAGCCAGGAGGAAAAGGCAGATCTTGTAGCCTTCCTCTAGAACAACAAAGACGTATTTTCATGGTCACCATCCGACATGCCTGGCATCGATCCCCAGATCATCTACCATCGCCTGCACGTCAACCCAGCTATCAAGCCTGTAATGCAGAAGAGACGCAACTTCACCCCCGAGCGGGTTGTCATCATTGAAACCGAGATCGACAAGCTTCTAGCTGCGGGTTTTATTGAAGAAGTCTCTTGCGCAAAATGGCTAGTGAACGTTGTTCTAGTAGCAAAGAAAGATAAAGGCATGTGGAGAGTGTGCGTCGACTACACCAACCTCAACAAGGCATGCCCTAAAGACAACTTTCCACTACCAAGAATTGATCAGCTCGTCGATTCAACTTCTGGCAATCAATTACTAAGCTTCATGGACGCTTACTCCGGCTACAACCAAATCATGATGCATGAAGACGACAAGGCAAAAACCTCCTTCATCATCGAAAGAGGTACATATTGCTACAAAGTCATGCCCTTTGAGCTGAAGAACGCCGAAGCAACCTACCAAAGGCTGGTGAACAAAATGTTCAAGGAGCAAATCGGCAAGAGTATGGAGGTCTACGTAGACGACATGCTAGTCAAAGCTTCTAAGCGAGCAGACCACATAGAGAACCTTGCCGAGACATTCAGCCTACTCCAAAAATACAACATGAAGTTGAACCCGAACAAGTGCACATTTGGAGTCTCGTCCGGCCGATTCCTTGGATACTTAGTCACCCAAAGAGGAATTAAGGCACATCCAAATCAAATCAAGGTTATACTCAACATGAAGTCACCTGCCACAACAAATGAGATACAAATTCTAACAGGTAGGGAGGCAGCTCTCAACCGATTCCTTTCAAGATCTACCGACAAGTGTAGGGACACAAAGACAAGTGGGATGACGAGTGTGAAGTAGCTTTTCAAAACTTGAAAACTTACCTCACTTCACCTCCATTAATCTCAAAACCGATACCAGGTGAAGACTTGTACATCTACCTGGCGGTGTCCGACTCAGCTGCTAGCTCAACTCTCATCCGAGAAGAGCTGGGGGCACAACATCCGGTATTCTACACTTCAAAAGCTCTCCTCGATGCAGAGACTCTCTATCCGAAAATGGAGAAGCTCATTTTTTCACTTGTGGTTTCTGCGAGAAAACTAAGGCCCTACTATCAAGCACACTGGATTATTGCCATAACAGAATTTCCTTTGAGATCGATCCTTCACAGCCCCGACGCTTCTCAGCGACTCACGAAATGGGCTATCGAACTCAGTCAATACGACCTCCTCTACCGACCGAAGATTGCTATAAAAGCCCAAGCTTTAGCAGATTTTGTTGTAGAGTTTACTCCGACAGCCGAAGAAGAGAAGATGGCCACGAAAAGCAAGGAAAAAACAGACGACACCTCCCCCACCGATTTGAACCTACCTAACAACTTGTGGCAGTTGCATGTAGACGGAGCATCAAATCATAAAGGAGCGGGAGCAAGAGTCGTCATAATCACCCCAGACGGAACCTTGTTGGAACAAGCTATCACACTAGGTTTTTTTGCTTCAAACAACGAGGCAGAATATGAGGCATTGCTTACAGGACTACGCCTAGCAAAAGAACTGTCAATCAAGAGATTGGCCATCTACTCAGACTCCCAGCTGATCACGAATCAAGACTCGGGCAAGTACATGGCAAAGCATCCAAGAATGGTCTAGTACCTCGACAAAGTCCAAGGACTTTTGAAAGAATTCCCTATTTTCACCATCCAACAAGTTCCACGGGCAGAGAACACTCATGCAGATGCATTGGCGAGCCTAGGATCAGCACTGGACACCCAGTTCAAACGCTCCATCCCAGTTGAACACCTTGACCGGCTAAGCATTGAAGAAATGGAACCAATAAACTCAATGCAAATTGATGAGGACCCAAGTTGGCAAGACCCCATCATCGACTACTTAGTGAATGGAAATCTACCAATGGATAAGTACGAAGCTAGGAAGGTGCAACAGAATACCACGAGATATTACATGCAAGGCGACAAGCTCATTTACAGATGATACCCCGACCCTCATCTCACTTGCATAAAATACCCTCAGACACTCGAGCTCCTCTGCAAAATTCACGACGGCGAGTGTGGCAACCACTCTGGGGGCAGGTCACACGCCTAGAAATCTCTAAACATAGGCTACTTCTGGCCTACCATGCGCCACGACTCCGCTGAATATGTCAAAAAATGTGATCGTTGCCAACGATACAAGCCGATCCCTAATCTGCCTGCCGAAGTTTACCATCCGCAAAACAGTCCATGGCCATTCATGCAATGGCCATCGACTTAGTGGGTCCCTTGCCATCCCGCGCCCGCCAAAAAAGAAATGATGATCATCGCCACTGACTACTTTACTAAATGGATCAAGGCCGAAGCTCTACGCTCTACTTAAGAAGCCAATGTGGAGCGATTCATCTGGAGAAACATCATCTGTTGGTTTGGTTGCCCATAATTACTAGTTTATGATAACAGCTCACAGTTCATTGGCAGACAGATCACCATAAAACACAACAGTTGCCCAAAGCAGCGTCCTTCAGGAGATGCAGTGCAACGACTAGAAGCTCCTTCGGGAGACGCAGCCCGCAAAGAAGCGTCCTCAGGGAGACACAGGGTGCGCCAGGAATTTCCTAAGGGAGATATCCAGGTCCCTATTCGTTTCCTAAGGGAGGCAGGATAGTCACACAATTGCCCATAAGGAGCGTCCTATGGGAGACGCAGGGTGACGACTAAAAGCGTCTGTTTGGAGACGCAGCTTGCTAAAAAAGCGTCCTAATGGAGATGCAGGGTGCGCTAGGAGTTTCTTAAAAGGGGGTCTCCATGCTCTTTGCGGGAAATATCCAAGTTCCTATCCATTTCCTAAGGGAGGCAGGATAGTCATACAGTTGCCCATAAGGAGCATCCTAAGGGAGACGCAGGGCGATGACTAAAAGAGTCCGTTTGGAGACATAACCCGCTAAAAAAGCGTCCTAAGGGAGACGCAGGGTACGCCAGGAGTTTCTTAAAAGGAGGTCTCCATGCTCTCTGCAGGAAATATCCAGGTCCCTATTCGTTTCCTAAGGGAGGCAGGATAGTCACACAGTTGCCCATAAGGAGAGTCCTAAGGGAGACGCAGGGCGACGACCAAAGCGTCCTTGGGGAGACGCAACCCGTAAAAAGTGTCCCAAGGGAGACATAGGGTGCATCAAGAATTTCTTAAAATGAGGTCTCCATGCTCTCTGCGGGAAGTATCTAGGTTCCTATCCATTTCCTAACAGAGGCAGGATAGTCACACAGTTGCCCATAAACAGCGTCCTTCGGGCGACGTAGGGCAACTACCAAGGCATCCTAAGGGATGTGCAGAATACGTCCGGAGCCCCTTAAGGGGGGCCCTGACACTCGCCAAGTTCCTAAGGGGAGCCATCCTAAGGGATATGCAGAACACGCTCGGAGTCCTTCAAGGGGGACCCTGGCACTCATGAATCTTCAAGGGGAGATGTGCAATCAAGACACAGGCTAGTTACTCAAGTAATTCACAAATCAATATGCAAGTTGAAGTGAAGAAATAGACTGAAGTTTTCATAGCAAAGTGACCAACCAGCCAAGTTCAAACAAAAAAGAAGATGGTTAAGCAAGACCAATTATTCTAAACAAAAAGCAGACTACAAAAGTTGAAAATAAATAAAGATGGTTAAACAAGACCAATTATTCTAAACAAAAAGCAGACTACAAAAGTTGAAAATAAATAAAGAAGTCTTTGAATACTCCGAAACGCCAACAAGAGATCCCTAATCTACAGCCACGCTCTCAGCAGCTCCACACACCTGATCTATGACGTCTGCCACCACCTCATCGACGACTTCCTCCTATGCTATATCCTTTTCAGCTATTGCTTCTTTAGCCACCTTCTCTTCAGCTCATTCGGTGTTGAAGCAGATGAAATATTGCTTTCCTTTGTTTTTCCAAGGAAAGACTTCAAGAAGTAGTTAGATCGCAAGCCTGCCGGATTTGATAAACCAGCTCAGCACAAGCGGATGGACTTGTTAGAAAGTGCGTCGTGAGTAGATCAGACGCGCATGCATCCCCTGCAAGGCTGGACTTGTCCACCTTTGGATGACCCACTGACGTTGCAGGAGAACCTTTCGCCTATACATAAGATTTTCTTGCTTTCCTAGCTTCTGCCAACCACACTTCTAAAGGAATTGGCAGCGATGAATCAACCCCACGCTTGACTACTTGTGACTCAATAGATGGATCGTTATGGTTGGATGGATGAGCAAACCTCCCACATTGACATCCACTCTTCGACTGGTGCAAACGACTCGAACTTCGGAAAGGAGCATCCGCATCTCTTTTCCTCTCAACAAGTGAGCTAGACCGCGCACATACTACTTCACAGAGCATATCACGATCTCCAAACTCATCCGGCTTGAGTTTTCAAACACTTGACATCAGCCTTCCTCTTTTAGGGGAGTTCAGTAGAACACTCCTCCTGTCCAGCAGGCAGATCATCAGGATTCGGACCATTCCGCTTTCATCTCTCAACATCCTCAGCAGGGGGCAGACCATTGTCTTCCTCTCGATACTCACTCAGCAGCAACCAGCGGCCACTGCCGCTCCAACTGTCTTTGACCGCCAGTCACGACGTCAATCAGCATGGTCCCACCTAGCTGGTCCTCACCTTGAAAAAGAGAAGATGAAGAAAAAATATACGTGCTCGACTTACCTTGGGATGCACGGCAACTCCTCTCTTCAACAAGCAGTACAAATTCTCTAAGATCTTTCTCAAGCCAGAAAGTAGAGAAGTTAAGTTTGCGATGTGAGAAAGAGTGAAGAGAAGCCCTGTATTTATACAAGTTGGACAACCCGGGTCGAGAAGGAATCGCAAGCTCATTTCTACTGGAAATCCAACTCCAACAACAATCAGGAGCCTACACCAATCGCGAATCTGATCTGCAAAAGGAGTCCAACTCACAGAAGAAAGCCCAGACACAGTTGGAGAGCTCGAAAAAAATAATTTCATCTCCTACATGCCACACAAGTGCCATGCAGAAGTTGGGGGGCATTTGTGGGAGCATATATTTTCGTCTCCAATCAGGGCACGCCACGTGGAAAAGAAGATTATTTCTTAAATTAATTAATTGAACCAGTTTATCTGGCCAATTAATTAATTAGGATAAATATCTTAATTAATGGGATACTGTCTTTATTTAATAAGATAATACCATTAATTTAGATATTATGCTAATAAAGAGAAGATAATATCATTAATTCAGATATTATCTTCATAAAAAGAGATAATATCATTTAAATAAGATATTATCTTCAATAAAGAGAAGATAATATCATTAAATCAGATATTATCTAAGTCCAACTCGATCCCTACGAATTTGGGTAGAGAATAAACACAGCATATTCTCTACGAAACCCTAGCCCCGAGGCTCCTATAAATAGACGACTTCATTCATCATTCAAGGTACATCTAAACCTTCTCCAGAACCTGAGAAAAATACCCGAAGCTCTCTCTCCCTCTCCACTCTCCATATTTTCTCCACAAGGCTCTGGTCACCACACACGGCTCCGGCCGTCCGATTCACACCATAAACACAACTCTGTACCCTTTGCTTAGCTATTGTTTTCTTACAAACACTCGAACTAACTTAGGCATCGGAGGGCCTTTGGCCAACACTCCCCGGATGTGGTCTATTTACTCCAGTCTTTTTTACAGGAATCGAGGAAGAGAGAGAAGGAAGATCGAAGGTTGAAGGATCACAAGGCGAATATTCTCCCGCGAGATTATTTGCACAAACACATATCTTGTTGTGGTGAATGTTTGTGTGTGTCTATATATATATATATATATGGGTATGTGTGGATTTATTTCCATGTTAAGGTTTCTTGGGTATGTACATTGAGAGTACTCTGCACAGGAATGAACATTTGAAATGAATTTCGGAATTGAGATGGGATATTTAGAAATTACTTGGCTTATTGTATTTTTACAAGGGTATGGTTGCTGGAAAAAGAATTTTGGGTTTTGATGTTTATATTTTATACTAATGGGTTTACTTTAGTGGTGTTGAATTTATGGTTTACTTTATTGTTTTTTTTTTTTTTTGCTCTCTCCTCTCCCCCATTTTCTCTCCGCTAATGAAAAGCGGTGCAGAGCGCTGCCTGAGGAAAATTCAAGGGGCCACCCCTCTCATGGGGTGTGGTCGATGTTTGACCGAGCCGTCGGTTGATCTCTCATGGTTAGAGTCCACGTGTTGATCTCTTATTGGGTAGAATGGGCTTGACTATTACTGAATGTCAACACTAATAAAATGTTTGTAAAATGGATATTAGTTAGGGCTACAAACTCGATTCACTTGTTTCAAATAAATAAATAAATCTTCCAGTTCTTGGAGGTGTGGCAACTCTCTTCAGTTTCTCTCTTTTTTTTTCTCTTCTACATAGTCGACTGTTGAGAGACTCTCTTCAGCAACTTCAAATTATATTACAAAAAAGACGACTTCAACTTACTGAAATTGTTACCGAGTACAAAATAATATTAGAACAAAGAGCGGAGCCAAGACTTGACTCCAGCTTAGTGAAATTGTTCAGTACAAATGTTTACCAACATGTATTAAATAGCCAATTCGAAACCTAACTAAAGAACTGAA